AGAAGGCAATGGCAACCCACTCCAGCACTCTTGCCTGGAGAATCCCATGGACGGAGGAGCCTGGTAGGCTGCAGTCCATGGGGTCGCGAAGAGTCGGACATGACTGAGCGACTTCACTTTCACTTTTCACTTTCATGCATTGGAGAAGGAAATGGCAACCCACTCCAGTGTTCTTGCCTGGAGAATCCCAGGGATGGGGGAGCCTGGTGGGCTGCCGTCTATGGGGTCGCACAGAGTCGGACATGACTGAAATGACTTAGCAGCAGCAGCAGCAGCAGTACCCTGAATATGTTTTTCTGTCATTAAGGAGTCCTGTAAAATATCATGTCAACCACTGCATAATATGTTTTGCTGTGAGTTTTTTAAAATTTATTTTTATTTTTTTCCATTTATTTTTATTCATTGGAGGCTAATTACTTTACAATATTGTAGTGGTTTTTGCCATACATTGACATGAATCAGCCATGGATTTACATGTGTTCCCCATCCCGATCCCCCCTCCCGCCTCCCTCTCCATCCCATCCCTCTGGGTCTTCCCAGTGCACCAGCCCTGAGCACCCGTCTCATGCATCCAACCTGGGCTGGTGATCTGTTTCACCCTTGATAGTATACAGAGTGAAGTAAGCCAGAAAGATAAAGACCAATACAGTATACTAACGCATATATATGGAATTTAAAAAGATGGTAACAATAACCCTATATGCAAAACAGAAAAAGAGACACAGATGTACAGAACAGACTTTGGGACTCTGTGGGAGAAGGCGAGGGTGGGATGTTCAGAGAGAACAGCATTGAAACAAGTATACTATCAAGGCTGTGACTTTTTTTAATGAGGACCTATATTTGTGCGGAAGGGTTTTTTCCTGCAGCTTTTTACTAGTATACACAGTGATGTGATGAACATCCTCATCACCAAAAGCACACAACCATAATTGTATGTCAGATAAATTCCTAGAACTTGAACTGCTGAGTCACAGGAGGTGTAAATTTTTAAACATGCAACTCTTTGAGTGTACTGCAAAATGGTTTTCTATGACAATTATACTAGGTGCCATTTCCACCACTAGGAAGTAAACAGTTTCCTGTTTGCTCATATACTTACCTTTATTGGATATGTTAATTTTGCCATCTTTGCAGATTAGAGAAGTGAAATAGCTGAATCATGTCTGACTCTTTGCAATCCCATGGACTGTAGCCTACCAGGCTCCTCCATCCATGGGATTTTCCAGGCAAGAATACTAGAGTGGGTTGCCATTTCCTTCTCCAGGAGATCTTCCTGACCTAGGGATTGAACCCTGATCTCCCACATTGTAGTCAGATGCTTTATGGTCTGAGCCACCAAGGAAGTCCTGTACAAAATTCTGTCATGTTTAAATTTTCCATTTCTTTGAATCCAAGACATGAAACATTTCACCTGTCTTATTAGACACTCTTACTATGTGAATTGCCTGTTCATGCCTGTTGCCCCATTTTCTACTCATTTATGTGTATGGGTTTCTTTAATGTTAGGGATTATTAATCCCTTTTTATACCTTCTGAAAACATGTTATTTACCCATTCATCAATTGATTAACCTTTATATTGTTTCTACTTTTTTACAACTAATGCTATGATGAAATCAGCATACCAGATTTTGTGTGGTCATGTGTTTTCAATTCTCTTGGGTATACACATCTAGAAGTGGAGTTGTCCAGCCTCATGGTAACTCTTTGTGTTTACCTTTGGGAGGAACCACCAACCTGTTTTCCACAGCAGCTGTACCATATTACATTCCCATCAGCACTATATGAAAGATCCATTTTCTTCACATCCTTACTAACACTTATTTACCTTTTTTAGATTCTAGCCATCCTAATGTGTGTGAAGTGGTACCTCACCGTGGGTTTGATTGCATTTCCCTGGTAGCTAATGGTGCTGAGAACCGTTCTTGTGTTTTTGTACATTTGAATATCTCTCTGGAGAAATGTCTTCATATTCTTTGTCCATTTTAAAACAGAATTCTTTGCCTTTTTACTGAGTTGTAGAATTTCTTTATTCTCAATATTCATCACTTATCAGATATAGAATTTGCCATTGTTTTCTTCCATTCCGTGGGTTGTCTTTCCCTTTCTTGATGATATGTTATGAAGCACAAAGGTTGTTGATTTTGAAGTTTAGCCATTTCTGCCTTTTGTTTCTTGTGCTTTTAATAGTAAAGTTTTTACTTTTGGTATGATCTTTTCTATTTCAGGCTCCTAGCTTGAGGGCCAGGTTTAGAAAGTCATTCCCTACCCTGAGAACAATATAAACATTGCACATTTTCTTCTAGTGCTTTTATTGCTTCATCTATTTTATATTTATTGGAAACTTATGGGTGGTATTGATTTGGATAAATCTGTTATGCCAGTGGGTCATCAGTTGTCCCAATAGCATTTTTTGCATGGTATGCCTTTTGTAAAGGAAGTGGATTCAGCCTGTGCTCAGAGGAAGTAAACAGAGCTCAGTAGTCAAACAGGAATCAAAACCATGACATTGGCTTGGCTAATTTCAATGGCAAACCCTTGTGGCCAACTTCACTTCAGATTCATGGAACTGGAAGTGGTGGAAGGATCTAGAATGACTGCGGTTTTGTTTTCCAGTTGTTCTTTACCCTCACAGTATCTCAGCCCATGTGCCCATCTGAGCAATGTGTCACCCACAGGGTGCGATCACATGATCACATGTGTTTTGTTTTTTAGAAGGGAATACCATTTGTCTGTCATCTTCTTAGATGAACGCTTTTGTCCAATAACTGGTGGTCAGATAGGAATTCCTAGACTACAGAATTGAGCATTTGCATCTCTTTGACAGCCACAGAATTGAGCGTTTGCATCTCTTTGACAGCCAAGGGAAGCCCCATATTCCCTCTGCATGCCCCTCTAGGCAGGTTCGGCAGGGGGCGTCCAGTTTTCTTTTCAAGTAACACCCTCATAGCTCATGGCCATACAGATCATGAGGTTCAAGTTGTTGTGGATTCTTATGATCAAGAATTAATAATGAAAGAGAGACTGGGGAACACTCAGCTTTATTCCAGTTCAAGGTGAAAGAAAGAGTGGGTAGAATCGCTCATTCCTGGGCTTCCCTGATGGCTCAGAGGGTAAAGCGTCTGCCTGCAATGCAGGAGACCTGGGTTTGATCCCTGGGCCAGGAAGATCCCCTGGAGAAGGAAATGGCAACCCACTCCAGTATTCTTGCCTGGAGAATCCCATGGATGGAGTAGTCTGGCAGGCTATAGTCCACTGGGTTGCAAAGAGTTGGACACGACTGAGCGATTTCACTTTCACTTTTCACCTGGAAATTTGGTGATGTGAACACAGCAGCAGAGGACACCCGTGTGGGGGCTCACCACTACCCTTGATGATGGCCACCTCGGGCACCGCAGGAGGGAGCAGTGATGGGCCAGTGCAGCCAAACTCCAAGCCCTCACAGGCAACTTCATTGCTGACTTGTTAACATACAGGGTGACTCATGTCCTACTCTTTGGTCTGCTTTCTCCAACAGCAGTGATAGTGTTTTTGAAAATGCTAGTGCTCCTTATTTTGTAAATACTCATTCATATCCAATCAGGGATGTCTATAAAACACATTTAACTCAAGGATTCAGCCCCAGGTGGGAACATAGCAAATCTCATTTTCTCCCTCAAGACTCTTTATTTTTAAAATAGACTTCATTTTTTAGAGCAGTTTCACAGCAAAACTGAATACATTGTACAGAATTCCCATACTCCCCATACACCCACAGTCTCTCCATTAGCAACATCCCAAACAGGGGGTACACTTGTTACAATTCGTGAACCTACAGCCCCCCACCCAGAGTCTTTGATTGGTGAAGGAAATGTCAAAGGTCATTGCCTCCAGCATCCTAGAGGGGTTTCTCCCAAGAACCCTGGGCTCTGGGAGTACAGTCTCCCTTCATTAATGAGCTTGTGTCCTGAGATGAAGAGAGCACCCAGGAAAGAGTGCTCAGGGCTAATTAAATGTCCTAAATGGCATCCCTTGCTTGTCAGGGAGCTGCTGTCTGGGCTGTATGTATGCTGGTGTGTGTGTATGTTCTCTGAAATTCAACCACGTTTAAGTTTGTGTGACCACCACTGCAATCAAGAGAACAGTGCTGTCACTGCAAAGATCCTTCCCGTTTTCCCTTTTTAATCACAGCCAACTGCCTCCCTCTTCACCCTCCCTAACCCCTGTCAACCACTAATCTGTTCTCCATCTCTGTGATATTTCAGAGCTTTTTGAATTTCAAAATCCTAGATAAGGGATTGTCAGCTTGCATTGCTTTGTGTTCCACAAACAACTCACACTATATGCCAAGCTAGAAGTAGATGGCCTTAAAAAGCTCTTGATTATCACGTAATCCTGTGTACCTAAGTTACCGGAGTAGAAGCATCTGAATTTGAAGAAAAGCATGTAAAAGGGCTAAGCACAAGAGGAAAGGAAATAGAAATATTAACCATAAATCTCTTTGAATAGTAGGATGATGAATTGTTTTTATACTAGTCTTTCATCCTTTTTTAAAACAAACTTTTACATAACCGTGGTTCTCTAATTAGATAAACAGTAAGATGTTACAGGAGGCAGGAGGTGCACAGAACCCACAGTGTTGGTATTTAGAGCCAGGCTTGCCCGGCGTGAGCTCAGCTCTGCCACCTGCTGGCAGGTCCCTCACCTACGCACCTTCACTCCGTGGGGTGCTGTGGATGGTTGCAGGGGGCACTTGCCCCGGTATATGGCAGTGCTGTGTGTAAAGAGCCAGGATACTACATGTTCTCAGTGCGCGGTCACTGTCGTTTCAAAAATAAAAAGTTCTCCCTCCGCTTGGGCAGGTGGCAGGCATAAGGAAGCAGGTCTTGCTGTAGTCAGGGTGAAGCCCCCTGGGGCAGAGATGAAGAGGGGTCTCAGCGAGTCAGGAAGGGGCTGTCTCACTCCTGACCCTGAGTTGGTGGTCACAATGGACACTGACTGCTTTTGTCCTTTATGCAGGTGGTGGCCAGTATGGTGGCGGGGACAACTCTGACTCTGGTGAGTTGGGAGTCCTGAGGTTTCTATGGAAACCACAAGGGGACACTGCTGGCTGCTTGGGTCTCAGGGCTGGCCTTCTCGACCTTCCTTTGACGGCCACCTCTCTCCGTGCCTCCCCCCCCACCCTATGCCCAGGAATGTCGGCAGAGACTGGCACAATCGCCGGCGTGGCCAGTGCTCTGGCCATGGCGCTGATCGGTGCTGTGTCCAGTTACATCTCCTACCAGCAGAAGAAGTTCTGCTTCAGCATACAGCGTAAGTGGGCCCACCTGTGGCCATGCCCACCCACAGCAGAAGATGAACAGAGGGCCGGGGCTTTGGAGGAGAAGAGGGCAGAACTCTGAGCAAGCTGAGATTCAGCAGACTTCCCCGGGGTGAGGGGGAGGTGGGGCTACACTTTTTAAAGCCCTCGGGGACAGACCTAGGCCTAACTGAAGTATAAACCAGCCTGGAAGAGAGGATTGGGGTGGGTCTAGTGACCTTGGTCTTCCAAGAGTAACCACCGAGCTTCTCATAGAACAGGAAAGAGCGTCTGGATTTCCATGTGGCTTTGGATCTCGCCCAAGGGGATGTGGGGCTTTTGGTGACAGAAGGCAGGTGTCCCCCAGACCTCTGAGTTCCAGCAGGTAACACTGTTGGGCCGGCCAGCCCACTCCTCACCCTGGCGACCCTTCTCTCCCTCTTGGATCCCAAGGAGCTGCTGGCTGCTGCCCGGGTGCCCCTGCTCCTCCCCCGTGAGCCCCAGAATCTTAAAATACATGGAATCCTGAATTGTTTGACAGGAACAGGAATGCAAGAGGAAGAGTTTTGTCATATTGGTGGCTGTCATTCCCGGTTGTAGTGGTGAGTCTGTCCATGGTGTGTGAATGGGATAGTTACAGATGGAATCTGTGTCAGAAGCCCACCTACAGGCGCCCTGTACACAGGGATGCCATTGAAGGCAAACAAGACCACACTCAGTTATTTTACAAGCACGATGTTGATGTATTGCTGTGTGCAGAACGTGTCTCTGGTTGAAGATGGGAAATCTTTAGTTCAAGTAAGGGAACCTGACTCAGCCATAGTTTTCCTCTTTTCTGCGGCTTAGGACCATCTCCCGTGAGGTTTCCCCTGCCCTTGCTCTGGGCCTCTGCCCTTAATTCTAGCCTGGAGCTGAGCTTCCCAGGAAATGGACTTAGGTCCTAAAATGCTTTTTGTGTAGCTACTGCAGATATCTCCAGCCTGATTTTCCTTCTGGCCATGACGTTTGGTGCTTCTACTCTTATACAATGTCCGTGACCGGGGCCATGGCATACAGCTCCACAGGCTGTGCACAGGAGTACCCCAGGGACAGCACATGTCTCAGTGCACAACCTGCACAGCTGTTCATGGCTGCCCTGCTATAGCTCCAGAGCTTGGTTGTGCAGAGTGGTGTGAACAGTCAGAAGGAGTACAGAACTGCAGGTGGGGTTGGCCTAAGCGCTATCACTTGTCCCAGCTCAAAAGCAAACAAGCAGCTTAAAACAAGAAACCTATTGTCTCATGGTCTGGAGGTCAGAAGTTCAAGATTAAGGTGGCAGCAGCACTGGTTCTGTCTGAAGGCTGTAGGGGAGGATCCTTTCTTCTTCTCCCAGCTTTTGGTAACCCCAAGTGTCCCTTGGCTTATGGTCATATCACTCCAATCTCTGTGACTGTGTCATCTTCTGTCTCTTAAAAGGGTACTTGTCATTGGCTGTGGGCCCCACCCTAAATTCAGGGTGATCGCGTCTTGAGATCCTTTAACTTAGTCACATCTGCAAAGACCCTTTTCCCAAATAAGGTCACATCCACAGGTTCCAGGGATGAAGACATGGACAGAGGCTTTGGGGACCACCATTTACCCCAGTTCAGCATTGTAACTATAACAGTGAGATGAGTGCATTCCATGGTTAATCAAAGACATGCCCACAGCAGAATTGGGCCAGATAGCTCAGGGGCCACGGGGTGGCTTGGAGACTTGAAATTGCATGTTGGATAAGAGAAGAAGTAAAAGCTGGGCCTGCAGTCAGAGTAAAAATGGCTTCCCACGCTCTCCAGTGCCTGACCCTGCTTGGCCCGGATCACTGCCTCAAGCACCACCACCTCCTGATGGGGCATCATGGCGGGTACCTTCAGTTTATAGATGAGACAGTGGCTGAGGGGACTGTTGAAGGAACTCAGTGCACATGGGAAGGGATAAATCCAGAAGGAAAGAGTGCTGGTAGGTAGGAACAGGGAGGATGAGAGAGGTTGATTTCCAAACCGAATAGATGTCTGGATTGTGTCTGTCTCTGCAGAGGCACTCAGGTGAAAGTACATTGTTTTCCCACTTGTTTCCTAAAACAAAGAAGTGCAAGTTTCTGCCAGTTGAATTAGCAGTCAAAGCCCAATAAAATTTGAGAATATGAAGGCTTTGGTACACAGAATTCAGTGAATTTTACAGCATTTGGGGGACAATAAACCTGTGATACTGAGGTGGCAGGACGTGGATGTGACCTCTCTCGGGGTTGGGGGGGCTCTAGGGGTTAAGGTGTTGCTGGGCCACGTGCTGGGGGGGCCTGGCCCAGGGAAGCCAGCATGCTTGGAGGGCTGACAGGGGCTCCCAGGAAGCTCACGGAACCCGTGGACCTCTCCCAGCCCCCAACTCTGTCTGAGGGTGGGCCCCCCAGTCCTTTCCCTTCAGTCTGTCAGTGATGTCATTGTCGTGGCTGAACCCACACTGTCCTGCGACTACCATCATCAGCCCCGGTTTCCTTCGAAGGAAACCGAGTTCAGAGCATCCCCCACATCTGAAAAAGGCCCCCTCTTGGTTTTGTGTCTGTCCCCTGTGCTAGCAACATCTTCTTCCAAAGCTGGAAGTTGCATCTGCTCCTGTGTCCATGGCCTCCCCTTATGAATCCCTCCGGCCCTCCTGGGTCCTTCCGTCCCCTCGAAGTGACATCAGAGGGGTCCCCGTTCCTGGGGCTTGTGCTCTGCTCCATTGCCAAATCTCCTTGTCCTACATCTGGACAGTTCCATCAGCACCCCGGGCTCCCCGCCACTCCTCTCTGCTCTGAACAGCCCGCGGGCCCTGTTTCAAGTGTGCAGGGACTGCTCCCCCTGGACCTCCCGTGTGCCTCTGACCCAGCCCCTGAGCTTGACGTTCAAAGCCCTTCATGGTTTGGTTCCATCCACGTCCCTTCTGCTCCCCGCCTGTGGTCCGTGTCCCCAGAAGCCGCACTGACTTCCCTGAGGATGCGCTGCTCTCTCCAGCACCCTGTCCGACATGCCCTCTCCTCCCCTAGCAGCTTTCATCCTTTGCGCCTGGGACACCCTCCCAGGCCGCCTTCCTGCCCTCCAGTCTGTGGGAGGATGTCTGTCTTGCCTGCTGCCACAGCGCCCTCTGCTGATCCACTGTGTAGCCCATGGCGCGGGATGGAGGCTTGCTGGTTTCTGTGTCACCACCACCCCATCCCATCACTCTGAACTGTCTGCACCCGTGGGTGCCTGTGTGTGTGTTTCATCCACCGAAGTGTCCCTGGCCTCTGTGTTGGGGTAGCATCAGGAGGAGCCCTGTGGATGTGTGGGGGGGTCGATCCCCTGAGAAGCCGGGACTCAGCATCTCCCATCCCCAACCTTTCTGTTAAGCCTTAGCCACTCACACAGGGAAGTAAGTTGGGGAAGGCCAAGCAGAAACCACTCTGCACCCGGTGCACGGGGATGACCCAGGGGACAGCACACGAGTGCTAGGAGGGCCTGACCCTGCCATGGTGCTTGGGGCCTTGCAGTCTCTCCTGCCACCAAACAGGTCCCGGCCTTGGGGACCCTCTGCTTCCCCTGTCTCTGCCCTCCAGTGCCAAGGGTCAGTGTGTTGCGCGGAAAGCCCACCTGGCTTGTTGCCGGGGGCTGAGTTTTTGCTCCAGGGTCCTAAGTTTTGTGTCTTGCCTTCAGATGCAGCAGAAGGTCAAGGTAATGATGTGCTCTGACTTACTCATTGTCCCCTTCTGCTTTGGCGTCTGCCCTTCATCACCCACCTCCCCTCCTCCCTCCCCTCCATGCTGCTCTTGTCTCGTTGCCTCGCTCTACCCCATCCCGTTCCTTGACACTCACAACCATCTTTACTCTTCCCTGACACATGTGGGCGTTTGGGCGTGGCTGTGTCTCAGAGATGCTGGGGCGGGGGTGGAGGCCCTCTCCAGGACTTAGATGCCCACCGGCGGTCATCCCTGGGAAGCAACCAGAGGGCTGCCCGTGGGCAGAAGACAGTGTGGCACGTGCCAGCTTGGCATCTGAACACCCGGTTGGGAGGCCCAGGGTGCCCCTCCATGTGCCTGCTCATCCATCAGCCTTGCCGGCCCAAGTGAGTGCTGACCACACCTGCTAACTAGCCGCATGTCCATCTTTCCTGGGCCCGCCCGTTATCCATCTTGAGCCCAGGGCAGGCAGGAACCTGAGTGCAGCCCAGGATAGTGGAGTGACTTGCACTGGCGCCTGCTCAGTGGGTTCGTGAGAACCATGGCCTGGTTTTCCCACAGGCCCAGGGCTCTGATGAGGTTTCTGGGGATAAGACATGGACTCTTGAGTCTCCCCAAGTAGCAGCAGCAGCAGAAGACATGGGGTGTACTCAGCTTCATAGAGTCCCCAAACTGTTTGGATGTAAGTGAGGAGAAAGCCCCCAAAGTGACTAGACCAGAGCAGCTGTCAGTGGGTCCTGACCCTCCACACTGCAGCAGGGACAGACTTCTTCCCACTGTCTGCAGGAGCCCATCCGGCTGAGAACCCCTGAGCAGGACAGCACGTTTGGGTGGCCCAGGGTTCGGGAGTCTGAGTTCATTAAGGGGTTTGGGCTTTTTCACCATAATGGAGGGCTTGGTCGGGAGTTGTCCATCATAGCCAGGGCCCCTTGCTTCTGTGTCAATCACAAACTCCACCCTTGGCCTTTTGCAGAGGGTCTCAACGCGGACTACGTGAAGGGGGAGAACCTGGAGGCCGTCGTATGTGAGGAGCCCCAAGGTGAGGACTTCCTAGTCACTTTCTGTTGCTGAAGGCCTCCTAATAGCTGGGCCAGCACTGAGCAGAGCTGTGCTGGGAAAGCAGGGGCTCAGAGGTCTCCATTCCTAAAACTTCCAGCCAGAAAGATGGGCTGCAGAAGTCAGGGGCCCAGCACTCTGCTCTCCCCAGCCAGACTCCAGCCTCCTGACACTGGGCATGCCGGGACCACAGTCAGGGCCGTCTGCACACCAAGAGGCACGCTGTGAGTGAAAATACACACACTCGCAGTCAAATGCCCACAGAAGCTTGTGGGGAATCTCTAGATGGAGTCCCAGGCCCTTTCCATTTGAAAACTGCCAAAGGCAAGAAAGAACTTGTAAAAAACACAGACCCCAATAATGGGAGCCCCTGCCCTCCCCACCCTGTTCTGTGTTCATCAAGCACTTCCTGGGTATGGGAACGCCAGCCATGACAAGCTGTGTGGCATCAGGCTTCTGGCCCAGGGTGCCCAACCACTCAAGGCAGATGCAACCCGTGGCCCCAGAATGCCAGCAAGGCAGTCAGGAAAGGCTTTGTGGAGAAGGGGGCAGGCTGCTTTCCATCACCTAAGGCCCAGGGGCTCGCAGGCCAGGGTGGGCATGAAAGACAGGAGCTGGGGTGTGCCTGTCTTGGGATGGGTGCCAAGGTGGCTGCTTGGCGGGGGGAGGGGCGCCCCCGGGGATGTGATGGGCAGGGCTCCATGTGGCGGCTTAGAATGGTCTGTGGCAGCGCTGCACTGTCTGGATGTAATAGCCCAGAATTTCAAACACAGGAAGATGGACTCCACAGTAGCAGTCACTGTAGTCGTTCTTTTAAACTCGGTCACCATCGTGTGAGTATCGCCATGTACCAGGTGCTGTGTTACATGCTTTATTTAAAATACTCCTCCCAGGGACTTCCCTGGGGGTCCAGTGGTTGAGACTCTGTACTTCCAATGGAAGGGGTGCAGGTTCGATCCCTGGTCGGGGAACTAAGATCCCTTGTGCCTCGAGGCCAATAAAAAGAATATAGAACAGAAGCAATGTTGGAATAGATTCAGTAAAGAACGTCAAAAAAAGTTCTTTAAAAGATTCCTCCCGTTGGAGTTCCCCAGCTGTCCAGTGGTTAGGACTCTGTGCTTTCACTGCTGAGGGCCCAAGTTCAATCCCTGGTTAGGGAACTAAGATCCTGCAAAAAAAAAAAAAAAAAAGAAAAGAAATAAAAAGCAAGAAACTCGTCCCAGCTGCTCGAGTAGAACCATTCCCAGTTTGGGTGGGTGGTGGTTTAGTCACTAAGTCGTGTCTGACTCTTGTGGCCCCATGGACTGTAGCCTGCCAGGCTCCTCTGTCCATGGGTTTCTCCAGGCAACAATACCGGAGTGGGTAGCCATTCCCTTCTCCAGGGGATCTTCCCGACCCAGGAATCGAACCCAGGTCTCGTGCATATTCCCAGTTTACAGGTGAGGAAATGGAGGCCCAGGTGGTCACAGGGTCCCTCTGCTCCTTCCTTCTCTCTGGGGGCACAGCAGCTGCCAGAGGCCAATCATCCAGGACAGGCAGGCAGAGAGCCGGGTTTCTGTGCCCAGGGAAGGATGTGGTTGTCTGTCTCTCTGTCTTCATGTGACTCCCTCCTGACGGGCATCTCGTGTCCCTAGTGAAATACTCGGCCCTGCAGACGCAGTCCGCGGAGCCACCGCCCCCTGAGCCACCCCGGATCTGAGGAGCCGAGGATGCAAGGCCCCGCTCTGCTGGGCAGGCCGTGGGCACACGGGGCCGCCGCCGGAGACCCAGCTCCTTATTTCGTCTGGACCCACGGCTGCCACACCGCTCCTTCGATGTCATTGGCTTCTTGTCGTCCTCAGTTTCCCAGACGTTGCTCTGGGTGTTTGTGAGTCTGGCTCGTGTGCCCACCCAGCCACCGGGCCCCCCAAGAGGCTTGCTGCTCAAATCCGAGGCTGGCCCCGCTGAAAGCCAGGGCCAGCCTCGGGTGCCCAGGGTCGATGCCTCCCTGGGTCACCCTGCCCCCCCAGGCCTTATCAAGCTGGGGAGGGGGAGACTGAGCAGAGGGAGGGCCAGACGATGGGCAGGAGTGTGAACCCGGGCCCTGTGGTCCCCTCCACGCTGCACCGACTCACCGGGTTTCTGGAAAGGCTGTGGGCAGGGGCCTGGCCGCGAGGAGTGCACTGGTGAGCACCAGGAAACTGTGGGCACACACACACCACGCCCAGGGGTGTTTTTATTTCCATCCCTTATGCTGCTGGGCTCTCTGACTTTTCATTTACTTAAGTGCAAACTTGCATGTCACAGTATCCCCGCCTGGATATGTAGGAATCTCCTGGATGTATGTGTAGGAAGCTGTGGCTCTCAGGCCCAATTCCCCTATGATGCCAGGGCATGGACGTGGTCTCCAGTCTGACGTGATTAGTTTCAGGAATCACTTATGCTGCGGCATTGAGTTTTGTACTGGGGCTGCGGAGGGTTCCCCACCCTGCTCCCATGTGTGTTCTTATTTTGGTAGCAGGAGCCACACATAGCAGAATGAGTGTCAGAGCCTGAAACATGCCCATTGTCTGCCTGAAGATGTCTGTGGGAGGAGGGGAATGGGCGTGGTCTTGGTGTGGGCACTCATGTGACCTGGGCACATTCTGGTCATCTGCTGGCCCACCTGTGATGGAGATTGCTTGGGGGCCTGGGGGCACCCAGATTGGAGGGTGCTGTCTGTGGTGGGCTGGAGCCAGGCTGTCTTCCTGGAACTTTTCGTCTGGGCCACGTGTGATCCTGATTCCCTCTGGACACTGCTGTCAGGGGCTGAGCTAGAGTCTAGAGCCCCCCCATCTATGGATGAGTTTGCAGTGTCAGAAAGCACTTCTGGAAGCCTCATGTGAGTCTGTTTCACATGCTACAGGACGGCTGTATGTCAGCTCTTTCGCATCCACCAGATTGGGACAAGGCAACTCTGACTTCTTAGGGAGACAGTTGACATCAGAACAGACCTTGCAGGTCAGACCGCGTGTGCCTCCCTCGTGTGCTCGTGTTACGGAGAGCGTGTCATGGGCCCCGCATCACCCCTGTCTGGAGGCTCATGCCAGGCCGGCCAGATTGCGTGTAGCCAGGGGCGAGGAGCATTGAGAAGACGGCAGGAAGTGAGCCGCGGAAGCAGTGCTGGTGAGCTCAGCCTGTTTCCAGCACCTCCCTGGCCTGCCCTCATGGACGGATGTCCCCAGCCCTGACCGGTGCTGGGCCAGAGGCCACTCTGAAGGACTTTTGCATTGGTAGCCTGCTGTCACCTAAAGAGGGTGACATCAGGGCCCCAGAGTCGGGAGGGATCAGGGCAGCACTCATCAAGTTAGGAGGGCTGCTCACCACCGTTTGCAGGCATTTCAGAGAAAGACACAAGGCAGCACTTGTGCGTGGTAAGAGGCTCTCCCTGCCACTGGGAAGTTTGGACATTTATAGAGAAGTCACAGTCACAGTGGTGACTAGGAAGGGAGCCATGTGGCCTGTGGCATCCTAGGTGTTGCCGGGTGCAGCGCTCCTGGTGGGCCACCTTGGCTCTGCAGCAAGGCATATCTTCTGGTGAAGACCCTGAAATCCTGTTGGTGATAACAGTCAGCGCTCTCTGTGGATCTGTTTGCTCGGTACCACTGACTTGGGTTGAGAGACCCATCATGCTCTTCCTTGTCTGTCTCAGTGCCCTCTGCATTGAGCCTGGAGCCCAGCACCCAGCTCTGTGCTGGTGACTGGGACATTGAGTCACTCAGCCACCCATTTGCAGAGCTCCCATCCTGGGGCCCAGGACAGAGCACTGATGGCTTGCTGATTCTTGGGAGCTCTCATAGCTGTGTCCACCTGGAAGCTGTATTGACTGGCTTGGGCCCATCCCAGGTGGTAACGGAGGTAGCAAGTATGCTAGAATGGTCAGCTGACCATATCTAATTGCTATCAGCTTAACTGGGGGTGAGGTGGGGGACTCAGTGTTTATAACAACTCTGAGCTCCTGAAGGATGGAGGCAGGGCACCCTAAGTGTCACCCAGAGAGTGGTACCAGGCCCACTGCCTTGGCTGCCTGGGGGTTAGTCACAGTTTTCTGAGAAAGAAGTGGTGGAGACCGATGGCAGGATCGCCTATACTTTTTTCTGTGCTTGTGTTTGAGTATGAATTGTAAGCTCTCTCGTGTTTGCATTAAACAAAGTGGAACCTAACCAATCCCTGGTTCTGCCAGTGTGAAGGCATTCCCTTTGTTAAGTGATGCTGGTTTTCCTACTTCATTATTATGGAGCCAAAGGCCTTTCTCGAGAGGGTCGGGGTTCTGGCACTTCCCCTCGTGCTGAGCAGCATAGTGTCAGCCTTCCTGGGGTGGTCCCCTGCATGATGGGGAGCTGAGGCCTGGAGATGTCATGGGGGTAGGGAGGCGCAGAGGCAGGCCTCTGACTCACAGCTCCTGTGCCCACAGCTTTGTCTTCTTCAAAGAAAGCCAGTAGCCAGGGTCCACTCAGGTGACATGTGATTGAGCCATAGAAAGTGGAACAGGGCCAGGGTGTGCAGGCAGAGTGCTCGCTGGAGGTGGAGCTGCCCTTGTCACTCCATGAGGAAGATGTGGGGGCTGCTGGCTGGGTTTCACAGTGTGATGGCATTTTTGTACCATACCAACCTTGTAGTAAAATAGCACCAAGTCCTCTAACCCAAACCCCCATGTGACTCTCCCATGCAGAAGTTGTGGCCCTCCCAGCCTTGCTGCTCGGTGTTGCTGCTGGGGCCCCCACACCTGCGTGGAGAAGGACAGGGACATTAGGCCTTAGAAGAAGGGCCTTATATGCAGGGGACAGCATGGTTTCATCCAGGCCTTTATAACTCCCATAAAGGCCAGCACTCTCTCTGGAGACTCTGGGTGGGGACCCTGTGGCTCCTCAGAAGTCTGTCCCATTTAAGCTCTAGGACTCATGGCCTGGAAAGCTGGCCTGGCCACCTCAGGGCCACACCTGCCTCTCAGGGGGCTCCAGCCCTGTCCTCACATCTTGAGTGTTTTCTTAAGGCATTGCCAATTTTAGAGTAGTTAGTTACCCATTTCAGCCAACCCACTCAAGTCTTAGGATGAATTGCGTTTACCACTTAGAAAATGAATTAAATCATGTAAGAGTACTTTACATGTATTGACTGTGTCTGACACATAATAAATTTTTGTGTAAGTAAAGTGGGCTTTCCTGGTGGCTCAGATGGTAAAGAATCTGCCTGCCAATGCAGGAGACCCAGGTTTGATCTCTGGGTCGGGAAGATCCAATGAAGAAGGGAATGGCAACTCCCTCCCATGTTCTTGCCTGGAGAATCTCCATGGACATTGGAGCCTGGTGGGTTACAGTCCATGGGGTCGCAAAGACTTGGACACAAATGTTTACTTATTTTCCACAAGGGGAAAATTACCAAAAATACTTAAAGACAACAAAAAAATGAGACCACGGAGCAAACATTATTTTAATTACAGATTGAAATACAGTGCATCAGATGAGGCAAATATTATACTGTACCAGTCTTTAAAAATCTGAACCATAGAGGTTTTACATTCTAGTACACTTAAATAAAACTGAGCAAGAATTGCTTACGTAACAAAACTATACTTCAAGTTGTTTTAGAAACAGTTCTGTGCTAGGAAGACACAAAGGAAATGATCTATTGTGCTGCTTTGAAACCAAATTGGAGCATCTAGGGGTCCTCCTAGGGCCCAGCACGTGGAAGGGGGAGGGGTGGAGTGGGGCAGCTCCCTGCAGGTGCAATCCCCACAGCAGGCTAGCTGACCTTGACTTCTCTGGTTCTCAAAAACATCATCCAGTCCAAGGTTAGTGGTCTTAGTGCAGCAGGGGGATTATGTATAGATATGCCCAAGGATAAAAATGGGTCCCTGTTTTTAAGAAATCCACATATCAATGAATAATCCAGCTTACCCATTCATAAATAAGCTTTTAGCTATTCTGGAAGCAGGATTCAAGTTACATCAATTAAAATGCAGTTTAGAAACAAATCCCCCAGCTGGTAAAAATGGAGAATTTTTTTTAGGTTATCAAATTACCTAGAATAAATATGATACCTTACAGATACCAGATAATTTTCTATAAGAATCAGAAGGTTCCAAGTTGAAAAACATCTATTCTCTTAAGTATTTAAGTGTAAAAAAACTTTTAAGAATGTTTTCAAAACTAAGGTCAATATGGAGGGCTTTGGGTAGCATCCAGTAATTTGAAACCAACCAGATACTACCATGAAGTTGCACTCAGGTCTCACCTGGTGAGCTCTCCTCCACTCAAAGGCAAGCTTAATTCCTCCAGGAGGATGGGGTCTTGGGGTCTGGCAAGCATGGGCGCAGTGCTGGGCATGAGGAGGAGGAGGGAAGAGTGCAAATGTGCAAAACTCTGACTCGCTACCCAGAGCAGTTCAGAGCTCTAGTGCTAGTGGATGGAGCAGCTGATGGCCAATGAATGCCTGCCCAGACTCATGGAGTCCTGGAGCCCAGAGACAGAAGCTGTGAGATGGGCAGGAAAAGGCCCAAGAGGCTCTGAGACCAGGAAACCAAGGGAGGTGAGTGCTCTGCTTTTGGCATCCAAAGTCACAGTGCCGTGGTGGCTTTAAAGTACCAAAATGCAGTGACAAGAATAAACTGAATTTGAAGGGATCTTGATGAAACGAGAACTATTACTTCAGACAGCAGGTAACAGGTGAGAGAAGACCCGCTTTGACAGTCAGCTGTCAGCAGTAGCAAGGGGCAGGGGACAGGTGACTGGGCTGCCTTGGGAGGCAGGTCCCACAGTCACGGGAGGACAGAACACATGGTCTAAGGTGACCACATTCAAATGTACCACGTCAGAGTTTGCATGAGCTCAGCTTGACCGTTGCTCACCCAGTTCAGTCAAGCAGGTGTCTCCTTGGGTGACTAAACATTAAAAAAAAAAAAGGACATAGGAAAATAAAGGTATGTTTCTCTTTTTAAAAAATACCTTATATGTACACACTGGTAACTGGTGCAGCAGGACCGCTGGCATGGGGAGATGGTGATGGTTTGTCTTCCCCAGCCAAGAGTTAACTGTCAGGCCCCAGGGCTTGGAGCTAAGAGCTGAAAGAGGCCCTGGGGCTGGCAACGCAGCCTTTAAAAGGGGGTGGGTTGGTTTTTCACAAGGATGTCCCACCTTGAGCCTGAACCCTGCGTTCTACTTGCCCAAGGGTCCCCCATGCGGCCCTGGGCAAGTGCTGGCAGGAGGGAAAGACGTGTTGATGACACAACAGCACTGATGAGAGTGGGGGCCGTCCCCTAGCACAGATCCGTCACTGGTGGGAAGCGCCACCCAGACGAGGCGGGCACAGGGCTTCATGAGGAACATCACAGGAGCCCCGCCTGGGCCACAGGGACAGCGGTGTCAGACTGACGTGTGCACGGGCGTCACCGAGTGTGATGGCGAGGAGCCCCGCTCCGACGAGGCTGAGGCGCGCGCCGCTACTTCCCGCTGCAGGTCCTCCACCCGCTTCTGCAGCTCTGCGCGGACTGCCAGCAGCTCCTTGAGGTTCTGGTGGGTGGGCGTCTGCAGGTGGAGATGCAGGTCAGCCCAGCCCCGGCCTCCTGACCCTCACTCCCTACCTCTGCCCAGGGGCCCAGGTGCCCACCCTGGGAGCTGTGGCTTGGCTGAGGCGTGGGGACTCCATTCTCCCTCTCAGGGGAGCCAGACCCCCGGAGGGGCCCAGGGCTGGGTGATCCCCTCTGGGCCTCAGCTGCCACTTGGCAGCACGGACCTCACGCTGCTGACTGAAAAGCCTCCCTCCACCGTGAAGCTGTGTTCAGCTTCATGAGCAAGAACAGGCGTGGGCAGAAGGCCCTGGAGAGGGCGGTGCTGAGAGAAGGCCCGGGCCCCCGGCCCCTTGTCTGTGTTCACAGAAGCTCTGGCAGCCTCGCCAGCACCCCCACCCCGCCTCACCCTCCTGGACCAGAGAGGGATGAGAGGGGCCTTCCTCTCCTGAAGCTTGGGGTCATGCCCCCCCCCATGCTCTCCTGCACTCAGCTCACAAGATCTCGTCATCACCTGCCACAGCCCTTGTTAATCTCAGCAGACCGGGGTGGGCAGAGTCACCAGCTGAGGGGGCACGGGGTGGGAGTTTGGGTAGCTCCCCCTTGGATCCTGTCCACAATCTCCACAGAAGCCACCAGCCTGGGTCCTGAGCTCAGCCAGGCCCTGAGACGCCATGAACACCTTCCAGGGGCTTCTTCCTGCTGCCCTGAAGGTAAGGCCTTGTGTGGTCTGACCCCAGCCTGCCTCCCCTGCTCACCTCTCACTGGGCCCTGCCCCTACTCCCCTCATCCATTCTCGGACCTCCCAGGTTTTGGCAGATGCCTTGCATTCGCTGGCCCTTCTGCCTGGAGCCCTCTCTCCTCTGACCCTTTTCACTCACACACGCTGGGCTTCATCCTGTAGGGACTGGCTGGAAGAGCACTTGCCCTGGGAGGGGGTCCTCTTGGAGACCCCATGCCTGCTGGGCCTGCGTGTTTCATCATGCCCTCCCCAGAGAGTAGGCGCTGTCCCATCAGGGATGTGAGGAGTGATCACCCCGGTGCAGGAAGAGGGCAAGCAGGGGACAGATGAGAAAGACATTAGACTGAGAGTGAGTGACCAGAGACATGAGTTCATGAGAGAGATTCGAGACAGAGGGACAGGGACAACAAGGACAAGTGATTTGGCTAGGTGCGGTGGGGGAGGCGCCCAGGTGTCTCCAACACAGTAGGGTGCTTGGGAAGCAGCCCAGAAGAGGCTCAGAGCTAACACCTGACATTGGCCCCTGGAAGGAGGGTGGGGGTGGTAATGTGGGAGTCTGATGACAGAGACCCCCCCAAACAAGGAAAGTTGCCTTAGTTGCCGATTCCAGAGGGCGCTGGGGAGTGGGCAAAGCTCCTCTCTTGGCCTTGGGCCTACTTGGTATGTCCCTGCTGTGGGGGTCTTGATTCCACTTGCTTTGCAATCAAGCGGCCATTACTAACTGCCCACCATCGAGGTCAGAGAGAGGAGACCACGTGGGTGAGCACACAGCTTCACACCTGCCCAGGCTGACACACTCATTCTTATATCTCCATGCAGCCTTTCATTCTGTTTTCTTATCCACTGTGTTCATTTACAATAAAGCAGAGAAAATGCCCATCTAGGAGCCAGTCACCCAGTGCTGCCATGTGTGAGATGAAAGCCAAAAGGGTCCCAATGGAGATAACACACAAGATGTCTGCAGGGCCCTCCTCCTCAGAGCAAAGAGGCTTGTCCCCGCCACTTCCCCTCTGTCTGGCCCGGCTCCCCACCCCCTCACTGGACACCAGCCTTCCTTCTGATCCCTGTGCCGGTCTCCACGGCCACCCTCCTTGTTCCTGAACTGTGCTGCTAGAGGGAGCTTCCTGCAACCCCCAGGGTCAAGTCCAAAGGCCTGGACCTGCGCACCTCTCTGGCCTCCAACATCACCAAGGCCTGGCCCACTCCCCAGCCTGCTCTGGGCCCAGCCTGGAGGCCCTCCACTACAGGACTGTCACAGTGCTGACTTTGTCTGCGTGAGTTGGGAGTTGCATGAGGTGTGGGTGTCACCCACAGGAGGAAGGGGCCAGGTTTGGGAACCATGCTTCTGAGGCAGTCTTTTGAAGGCCACGGCCAATTGTTAAGTGTCCACATGCTGTGGAACTAGTAAGAGGGGTGCTTCTTCATACAGGCATGAGCATAAGACTGATGGCTTGCTGGCCACGAAATTGAAAACCTGTATTTAGAATACTGACCACTGATGTTGTCTAACTATACTGTTAGGTTTCGTGGGAAAAGGGCTGAGACTATCTCCCTGGTTTCAGATATTCTTAATAAAAGGGCATTTTACAACTCTTAATAAAAGTTGGTGTGTTTGCTACTCAAAACATACATTCAACCCAGGAGCTGGGTGTTTGGTAGGTAGAAATGTGCTTCAGCCCCAGTGGTGCTCAGGGTGTCTGCGCCAGTGTGGACATGCCGGCTGCCCTCTCATCGCCCAGGCGCGGGTATCAGCTAGTGGCCCTATGTCCATGTTGGACGTTTGCCTCATGCATGATGACAGAAGCTGGGTCCTCAGAGGGGGTGCAGGGGAAGGGCAGAAAAGGTTCTCAGGGCATTGCCTGCCCTCATGATGAGAAGCCAAGGGCAGGGAAAGCATCCTGAGGAA